TAAGCATAAACTTAGAATGATGGCACAACGAACACCCCAATAACCTCTGGAAACCCAATAACCCTTGAACCCGTAAAAGACGTAACTCATCGCGTTACGCCGATACGTTTAAACCAGTTTTATTAAGAAGTCCTCTTTTCCAGAGTAGAACACGCAGTTTTGCATGCTATGGACAGTGGCTCAATTAATGTAATAGGGATCACTTAAAAAGGCAAACTAGTAAGTGGACGTGTCGTTACATGGAATTGTAGAACGCATATCACATTTATGAAACAGTTTAACTCGTGTATAACTCGGACGATGATACGGGCAATGTAAAGCGGACGCGCATATAATTAATTATCGAGCTAATCGAATTGGAAAGGAATGAAAAATTAAGAAAAAAGTAATAATGGTAGATTTACCCATATCCTGTAAGATAATATCGGTTATCACCGGGTATAAACCTAGTATTACGAGAAGACAAACTGGCCAAGAAACGGAGTGGATGTTGCGAGGCAATCGCAGTGTTCTCCATTGCTGCTTCACGTGGTCTCGCCGCATGCTACCCTTTCTTCGTCAAATCATGATTTTCACAGGGAACCTCTTCTGATACCGATCACTGGTGGCGCACTACCGGTGCGAGACGCGCGACCAACCGATAGATAGATCGTACACGATCGTACACTCGAGAAGTAGCGAGAAATTTATCCGAATGTAATCGTCGTGCACAATGCAGTCACCCTTTCAACGCGTTTCCTCTTCTTCTACTTCGACCCCTCCTTTCTAATGCTCAGTCTCCCCGCCTTTCTTTCTCGTAAACGCCGATGCGACGATGCACATGCATTCCACACATGTGACTTTTAACGACGATCCCGCATCTCCTCTATTGACACTGATTCAGATAACACGTGGCGCATTGAGAATAAAACACGGAGCAGAGATCTTTTCGTCATCGAGATAAATGCATCTTTTCTTTTTTTTTCTTTTTTTTTTTTGTTGGGAATGCGAGCGAAATTCTCTCACGCACGAACAAATAGATCGATACGATGTATACGATGTATGCGATTTTCTATTCATTTCTGGAAAATATTGTATTGTTACATAATATGTATCTAATACGTATACGAGCGAGTAGGAAAAAACAGATGGAGCTAAAATATATACCGGCTAAATTCGGGCTAAGTATTTTTAATTGTTCCCCGAGCGAATGTGCTCATCGTTTAAGTATGAAAGTTTCAATTAATTACTTCCTCGATACTTTTGATTAATTACTTCCCGACTTAAATCACTTTGCACAGAGTTCTCTATTCGCTTCGAGTGCAAATCAATATTTATAATATTTAAAATATGTGCATAAATTAAGATGAATTTAAAGGAAAAGTAAAAGAGCTTTTTTTTTTTTTTTACTTACTAATGATAGGTTTTTCATTCATTTGTGTATTAGATCGCATATATTTTTATATATACGGCTTTCAGAATAACCATTCCTCAACTTATAACATGATCGAAACATCTAAATAACGTGCAATAAATGGATAATTATTGTAAAAATATGTCTAATTTATTTGTAATCGAAAGCTAATTTTAATCGTATGTTCATGAAACAAGAACAATATATTATGTATATATATATATATATATATATATATATTGGTATATTTACTTACATGTACAACGTCCGAACATACGTTTATAACTCTAAGAATATCTTTTGCATATCACACATCATATCACACATCATTTCCGTTTAAATTATAATTAACGTATCGTTTTCCTTTCTTTCATCTTACAAACATTTAACGGAAATATATTTTGCCGGTAAGTTAGGTGACGAGTGAAAATTTTTGATCAGTGCCATCTCGCGTTTGGATCACCGAAGCTTCGATTTGTTATTAGCATAGCAGAATGTGCAAGGAGGTATGCGAAGTCATAGACAAAGAGACTACTATTGTGAGAGAAAGATAGACAGCATCCCCCACCATTTTGAAAACGTAACATAGAAAATTTATTAATTATTCTTCTTCTATTTAAAATTTCGACACTTTTAAGCTCTCATTTTGAAGCTAGAACTCCAGGCAACTTTCTCGTATCAATTTTAACATAAAATTGTTTATAATTAATTGTATATTAATAATTAACGCATACGTTAATAAAATAAGAAATTAATGAATTTTTGCATATGGCGTCTTTGATTTGAATGTATAATATGATATAATGTGTTAATCTTTAATAAATAATTAACTAAAGAGAATTTGATATTAAAATTGTTACGAGAAAGTTGCCTGGAGTTCTAGTTTCAAAATGAGAGCTTAAAAGTGTCGAAATTTTAAGTAGAAGAAGAATAATTAATAAATTTTCCATGTTACGTTTTCAAAGTGGTGGGGGATATTGTTTATCTTTCTCTCACAATAGTAGTCTCTTTGTCTATGACTTCGCATACCTCCTTGCACATTCTGCTATGCTAATAACAAATCGAAGCTTCGGTGATCCAAACGCGAGATGGCACTGATCAAAAATTTTCACTCGTCACCTAACTTACCGGCAAAATATATTTCCGTTAAATGTTTGTAAGATGAAAGAAAGGAAAACGATACGTTAATTATAATTTAAACGAAAATGATGTGTAAAGAGATATAATATGCAAAAGATATTCTTGGAATTATAGATGTATTCGAAAAATATATTACATATGTTATATATAAGTAAATATAAAAATGACAATTTAAAGATGTAAGTACTTAAAAGATAAATATAAAACATATTAAATTTCAAGAAAATATCATCTGCTCTTCAATTATATTCTTATACAAACAAAATTTGAATAAAAATTATCATTGTCAGAAAATTCGATTTTATAATAAAAAAATATAATCTGAAAAGAGGTGGCATGCAAAATTTCTATGAAATTTTAAAAGTTAAAATTTATAAATAAAAAATTTATAATTTAAATAATTATTTTTATTTATTTAGATTTTATATATTTCCTTTTTTAATATATTTAAAAAATATATAAATCCATATAATATTATTTATCATGTATAATTATTGTTTAGATATTCATGTATTCATCTATTTCTTATTAATAAGAAATACTAGTGAGTTACTAGTGTCTACTAGCTATTGCCACGTGTTTTTACTGCACATCACGTATAAACATAACCTCGTAAAAAGCTTATATCAACGTGTTTCAAGAAAAATTAAAACAATGTCAAAGAAAAAAAAAGTCAAAATTTATAGAACAAAAAAGAAACAAGTATCCGAAACACAAATAATTGCAAATCTACAATCAAAATATAATACTGTAAGTTCTAATTTTCTTTTTTAATTTTGTAATAATGTTCTTACATAAAGTTTACATGTTTACAGATTGATGAAACAAAGGTAACAAAATTTACAGATCTTCCACTTTCATCAAAGACCTTAAAAGGATTAGCAGAAAGTAATTATTTTGAAATGACAGATATTCAAAGACAAAGTATTGGATTAGCATTGCATGGAAATGATATTTTAGGAGCAGCAAAAACTGGCAGTGGAAAAACTTTGGCATTTCTTATTCCAGTAAAAAATTTAATTAAATTTATGTAACAAAATTAATTTACAACAAAAATATAAGTTTTAAATTATTTCAGATTTTAGAAATATTATATTGCAAACAATGGACAAGATTAGATGGTCTTGGGGCACTTGTTATTACACCAACCAGAGAACTTGCTTATCAAATTTATGAAACCTTACGAAAAGTTGGTCAATATCATGATATTTCAGCTGGTCTTATTATTGGTGGAAAAGATTTAAAATTTGAAAAAAGACGTATGGATCAATGTAATATTGTTATATGTACTCCTGGTCGTTTGTTACAACATATGGATGAAAATCCTTTATTCGATTGTATAAATATGCAGGTAAATAAATATAAAAATATAAATAAATTATTTAAATGAATATAATATGAATTAAATATTAATTTATTAATATAAATAAATAATAATTAATATTAGTAAAAAAACAACATTTGATATATATATATTTATATATATATTTATTTTTTAATTTTTGAAATTGTAGCTGTTGATATTAGATGAAGCTGATAGATGTTTAGACATGGGTTTTGAGCAAACAATGAATTCTATTATTGAGAATTTACCTCCAAAACGACAAACTCTTTTGTTTTCTGCAACACAAACAAAGTATATATATTTAAAAGTAAATAAAATATAATCTTTATTTATTTTTATTATATTTATTCATATATATTTGTTTTAATTTATAACAGATCTGTAAGAGATTTAGCCAGATTAAGTTTAAAAGATCCTTTATATGTATCGGTACATGAACATTCTAAACATATAACACCTGAAACACTTCAACAAAGTTATGTTGTTTGTGCTTTAGAAGATAAAATATCAATGTTATGGTCATTTATAAGAAATCATTTAAAACAAAAGATTATTATATTTTTTTCTAGTTGCAAACAGGTATAATATAATATAATATAATATTTAATATATATGATTTAATTAAAAATTAAGAGTAATTATAAGATTATCTTTTAAGGTAAAATATATAAATGAAATATTTTGTCGATTAAGACCTGGTATAAGTTTGTTGGCACTTTATGGTACTTTACATCAACTCAAAAGAATGGAAATTTATGAAACTTTTTGTAGAAAACAATTTGCAGTTTTATTTGCGACTGATATTGCTGCTCGCGGATTAGGTAAATAAGAAAAATTTTATATGAATATTAAGAAAATATAAAATTTAATGTTTATAATTTAAATAAATTTTAGATTTTCCTGCTGTAAATTGGGTTATACAAATGGATTGTCCAGAAGATGTAAATGCATATATACATCGTGCTGGTAGAACAGCAAGATTTCAACAAAATGGTGAATGTTTATTAGTTTTGCTACCTTCTGAAGAAAAAATGGTACAGAAACTCAAAGAACGCAAGATACCAATATCTATGATACAGTAAGTTAAAATTTATTTTCTAATAATAATTTATATTAGTAATATTTTATATATATATATATATATATATATATTAAATATCTAAATAATATTTATTTAGAATCAATCCAAACAAATTACAATCTCCACAACGTAAAATGGAAGCATTATTGGCACGAGATGTTTCATTAAAAGAAAGTGCTCAAAGAGCATTTGTAGCATATGTAAGATCGATCTTTTTAATGAAAGATAAAGAAATTTTTAATGTTCATATATTGAATACTGATTTATTTGCAAGGTAAAATATAAAATATATATAATAATTATTAAAATGCTATCGTTTTTTCATTATTACAATTAATTTGCATTTTCAGATCTTTAGGTTTAGCTATACCTCCAAGAATTCGATTTCTTCAAAGACTGGAACAAAAAAAACAATTAACTACTGAAGAAAACAAACAAATTATTTCTCATAATGAGTTAAATTGCAATATAAATGAACAAATAAATATTGAGTATTATAATCATAATGATAAAGAGAAGGAACAAAAAAATATATCTCAAACAATAAATCTAAATGATTTTACACTTGGTATAAAAATGATTATTGACATTTGTCGAATTATATATTTTTTTTATATATATATATATGTAGTATATTCTTTTTTTCATAGATGATAGTGATGATGATGATATATTAACTGTGAAACGAAAAAATATAAATTTTGATGATATACCAGTTGCTATCAATGATAAAGAGGATGAAACTTCAAATAAAAAAAAACAGTTACAAAAGCTGCTGTTGCTAAAAAAATTCTTCGAAAAAAAATATTACCAAATAAAAAAATTGTCTTTAATGAAGAGGGAAAGGTTTGATTTTGTTTTCGTTTTAAAATCATAATAAAATCAGATATAATAATCACATATATAAAATTATAATATCTTATTTTGTAGGAATTACTAAATCCCTCTAAAGTTAAAATTTCCGAATTAGCAAGGCAATACGAAAATGAAGAAGATTCTGGTATTAATATAGAAATAGCTAAACAAATATTACGCGAAGAAGATAAATTTGATAAACAACGATTTAGAGAAAAAATAAAGGAAAAACATAGAGAAGAAAAACGCAAATTAAAAGCTAATAAGAAAAAAGAAGATGATACAGATGATGAAAATGAAATTGAAGATGCTACAAAGGATTATAGTAGTGATAATGAGCATAATGATCCAGATTTATCCTGGTTACCAGATCCAGATAAAATTTATGGCAAACAGCAAGAAAGTTCTAAAGAAATTTTAAATATTTCGGAATCAGAGGAAAGTGAAAATGAAGAAGAAAGTGAAGAGGAAAATGAAGAGGAAAGTAAAATACATAGGTACACATTTTAATAAATAAAATATTAAATACATTAATCTACAAAAATATATTTGTTTTATTTCTAGCATGATTTTAATCTTTGGTAATTTTATACTTACAGACCATTTAAAAGAAAACTCATAGTGCAAAACGAATGCAAAATGAAAAAGAAGAAACAAAGAACATCTCTTAAAACAGATAATACAGACTTAAAAGCATATGAGGAACTAGCATTACAACTTCTACAGAATTAATATAATTAACTTATTATATGTAGATCAAGATTTTAATAATTTGTATATATTCTATAATAACAATATTGTTAATAATATTAAATATTGTTAACTATAACATTTTTATTCAATTAAAATAAATTAAATCTATTAACATATTTTATTATAAATCATTTCTTTAATGAATTATCATTAGAACAGAATTATTAAAGATATATATATATATATATGTATATAAATATATGTGATAAAAAAAAGAATTCATAACTTTTAGGTACTCACTAGAATTTTTGTTAACATTAAAGCGAATAACTTGTTCTCTTTGAAAGATACATATTTATTTATGAGATGTCAAAAATCAGCAATATATTCTGTAATCAGAAAAAAAGAATAACGATTGATTCGCTTTCGAATCAACTTTCGAACAAATCATTTATTTTTGAACGAATTAGAACAAAAAATTGTTTATAATTTTGAAAATTTTAATTTTTTGATTATATTTTTATTAAGATTTTTTTTTTCATAAGTATTTTTTTGATAAGTATTATCTATTTATTAAGTTTAAGTTATGAACCTCTTTTTTATCATTCTATAATTGCAAGAAAATATTTTTAATGAGATGTAAATAAAAAAATTTACATCTCAAACGCGTCTTTTAAAAGTAATTACAATATTTAATCTGCAATTTTTAAAATGTACTTTACAAACTTTAATTCAATATATAGAATATTATATTACATAAAATATTACTATGTTACAGGTATCAAATTTGTCACTTTACTTAAAAATTATTTTATATAATTTTGTGCGATTTACGCAATTTAATTGTAATCTTTTTTAAGCAAAAAATACAGTTACTACTACAACTGAAAAAATATTCAAATATTGTATCAGATAATGAAATATCTCTTCTAAAAAGCAAAATTATATGTATATTTCTATATTATATTAATTTTTAATCTGATATATCTTATCAGTCTTAATTAGATGCTATTTTAATATGATTCATTATCGTATCAATAACTTCTCTACTTGTTGCTTGTCCACCAAGATCAGGTGTATGAACACCTTGATTAATAGTTTTGTTAATAGCATTCTGAATTAAAGAAGCATGATCCTTATGTCCAAGATGTCGTAACATGTCAACAGCAGCATTTAACATTGCAATAGGATTGGCAATATTTTTTCCAGCAATACGTTTACCAGTATTACGAGTACCTGGTTCAAACACTGTGTAATGATCACCAAAATTTTTACCTGCTAATAATCCTGCACCACCTAATAAACCACATACTACATTTGATACAATTGCTCCATATAAATTAGTTGTTAATATAATATCAAATTGATGTGGATTGGAAACCAATTGCATACAAGTGTTATCAATAATCATGTCATTATGAGTAATATCTGGATAATCTTTTGCAACTTTTCTCGATATTTCTAAAAATAATCCATCAGAGAGCTTCATTATATTTGCTTTATGAACTGTGGTAATTTTTTTTCTTCCATTTCGTTTAGCATATTCAAATGCATATCTTGCAACACGTTCAGAATTAATACTTGTAATAACTTTCATACTTTCTACAACACCTTTAACACTTTCATGTTCTAGCATAGCATATTCCCCCTCAGTATTTTGTCTAACAATAACAATATCAATATTTTTATGTCGCGAATTTACTCCTGGATATGATACACAATGTAAAACATTTACATAAAGATCTAACTGATTTCGAAGAGCAACATTTCTAGAAAGTACATCAGCTTCTGTACTACGAGTTTCAATGTTTCCTTTTAGTGCTACACCATTTCTACGAATTGATGTAATAGCATAATCTAAATCAACATTGTCATTTGCATTTGGATCAATTTCTACATCTTCAAAATCTACTGGTACACCTGCATATCTGAAAATCTGTAAGAAATATATAAAAAATTATATAAGATTTTTTCATTAATATACTATTAAAAAATTTAATATTTAATTGTAACAGATGAAATAAAAACATATACTTAAAAAATCATTTCTTATTAAAATTATATAAATATTGTTTTTGTACCTCTTTTACATAATTCATCAATTCTGGACCAATTCCAGCACCAGGTAAAAGAGTAACTGTATGTCGTCCTCCATAATGAGCTTTTGGTATAGGCATTACTTTTTTAATAGTTGGAGTTTTATGTTGTATTTCAAATGCAGAAAGTGAAGCACATCTATGAATTTGGGATACAACAGTTTTTGGACGTAAATATTTAACGATAGATCGGGCAGCCATTTTGAGTATTATTCTATAAAATAAAATTTAAAAAAATAATAAAATTTTAATATTGTACATATAAATTATATTTTATCACATACTATTACTTTGCAAATTCTATTTTAACAATACCTTGAAAGACCTTGCCAACTCCAAATTTTCAGCGCCGTTTAAATCACAACTTTTATAGAACGGAAATTTAATATTAAATTTTAGATAATAGTGCCATCTATTAAAATTATTTTTAACATCACATATAATATTAAAAGTATTTTCATAATAAAAACAAATATTTTTTAATATAATTCTATAATAGTTTTTTATATAAATAGTGTATATTATATTACTGTGAATACACAAAAAATTTAAAAATACTTTTCATTTAGTTAAATTATTTTTTTGTAAAAATTAATTTTAAAAACAATTACTTTACACCATAAAATATTAATAAAAGCACCATTTTAATTAAAAGTCAAAAAGTTATATATTTTATTTTATTGACGCTTATTACATTAAAATTATTAAATAAATATTAATCAACAAAAAAAAAACTTAACGTATAAATATTTCAAATTTATAAGTCATGACATTCCAAAAAAAACTATGATAATAAAAATATATACTTTAATATTATATGATTGCAATGATTATAAAATTTTCTATATTTAATTACTATTTATACAATTAGAACAATCTCAGGATATCTGTACATTAAATAATAAATTAATTTTTCAATGTCATTCACAATTTAATATAATCTTTTTTTTGATTTATGTTGGTCCTTCTGTTATTTTTCGCGGCAACGCGGTAATAAGACGCTAAAGTGCTAGAAATCCCGCCGCGTTGTTCGTAGTTATTTCTTGTATTTTATAGCTATTGTCTAAGTAAGTACATCAACTAAAAATTATGATTTAACAGACACAATCATAATAAAACGTAATTCAAATTTGTGTTATTTATTTCTAAATTTTCAAATAAATTTATAAGAAAAATCTTTGATTACTTCCCGGCTATCGTACCGCCATTTTGCATCATATTCATCTTTTAGTATCTTCAAAGCTTTTTTCTTATAAAATTATGATGTGTATTATCATTTTATATTAAAATAATTTTTTTCCAAAGTTATCTTCATTATCACTACATTGTTTATCTAATCTAATCAATTGTAAATCTAATCAATTGTACTACTTATTTTAATTGTAACTTCATTTATATTTTTAACTTCATTTGTTATTTAGTTTATGATTTCTATTTTAATATTTTTTTTCTGTATCATAAAATATATTTGCAGAATGAGCAAAGGAAAGGATTCATCCCCTGCAGAAACTGCAGGAGGAGAAGAATTTAGTGTTGAGAAAGTTTTAGACAGGAGAGTAGTTAAAGGAAAAGTATGTAATTTCAATACATAAATATATATAAATATATATATACACACACACATACACGCACACACACAGTATCTGAAAATAGTATGCAAATATGCAATATATTTAGTTTATTTAATAATAATAAATTTAGTTTTTTAGATTTTTATGTAATTTCCTTTCGATCTTATATAAATATATTATATAAAAATTGATTAAAGTTTAAACTAAACTTATTATAGTATATATCTTTTTATTTTTTTTGTATAGTTTAAAATAATCATTCATTGATTGTCATTATTATCATTCAGGTTGAATATTTTTTAAAATGGAAAGGATACTCAAATGAAGAAAACACGTGGGAGCCAGAAGAAAATCTTGATTGTCCAGATCTAATTGCACAATTTGAAGAACAACGAAAAAAGAAAGAAGCAGCTGCAGCTGGTAAACGATATGAAGACAAAGAACAAAAGAAACGAAAAAGTTCAAGTGGGCCTTTACCTACTCATACTAAGAAAAAAGTAACTGAAGAAAAGAAACCTGAAGGTAATATTTGTTTTTGTTTTTAATGTATTTAAATAATATACATGTAACACATTTTTAACCATTATATTTCAATTTTATGTAGGTTTTGATAGAAATTTGGAACCTGAACGTATTATTGGTGCAACAGATTCAAGTGGAGAATTAATGTTTTTAATGAAATGGAAAGGAACAGATGATGCAGATTTAGTTCCTGCTCGAATTGCCAATGAAAAATGTCCACAAATCGTAATAAAGTTTTATGAAGAACGATTGACATGGCATAGCCCTGCTCATGATGAGGAAAGTTCAGTAAAAGCTGATGCAGAGTAGCGTTCAGCTTTCCGATATACATACACAGCACGCTTTAGGATATGTCGCATATAACAAAAAATAGCGTGTACAAAATGAAAAATATGAAGATTGATTATTGCACAGTAATAATGTTATCAATTTTTTTTTAAATAATTATTGATGAACTATTAAAATTAAGTAAACAAACATTAAATATTTCTGTCGTTGTTAGTAAAAAATAATTTACAATATATAATCTTATACTTCCATAAAATGTATACTTTCAATTTTTTTTGCAACTGTTAATTTTTATATTAACTAGATGAAAATTGATTTTTATTGTTAATTTAAGAATATAAATTCAAAATGTAAATATAAACAAAAGAGTCAAATGTATTAATATAAAATAGAATTATGTATGTATTCGAATGTAACTTCTTTAATATTATTTCATTTATACGAAACGATTTAATTTACAATTAATCGTTTCATACTCGATAATAAAAATGATTATATATTAATTGTTCCAGTTGCAAAGAAATTGAAATTGAAATTCGACTTTTTTTTATAAAATACAACATGACAATGTACAGTACGTACAGAAATATGAATGAAAAATATTATCTTAACATTTTTTTAATCTATAAAATTCTTTAATAATAAAAATATTTAAAAAGAAGAAAAATCTATTTCTACGTTTTTGAAATTAAATCTTGTGTAATAAATGATTTAAAATCTCTGTTAATCGTGTCTAATAATAGTAAGTAATTTAAATTATCTTTTTTTATAACATTTAGTACCAATAATTCATATTATAGATTAATGTTTTCTTGGTTAGTAATTATTAAAAAAATATTTTAGTATATAAGTATATGTGTAGTTTATTAATTTGTAAGAAATATCAATTAAAAATTCATTTTTTGTAATTTATAAATATCTTGATTAAAAAAATTCATATAAAAATATAACAATTTTTAAATATTTTTATTTTTAATTTTATTATTAATTATAATTTATTATAATTTTTTATTATAATTAATGTTTTATTTTTTTTACATTTTTTCTTAATATTTTAGAATTTTTTCGTTTGTTTTTATTTAAAGAATTTCTAAGCTTCTGATGTCGTTTGACTTCCCATTCTATTTGTTTAAAACTTGCACCATCTATAGTATTAAAAACATCTGTACCACCAGGTTTATTTTTTTGTTTACTATGTTCTTCTAATATTTCTGCAAATTTCTCAGCTGATACAAATATATTGTCATCAATTCCTTTTAAATTTTTATTTTGTTTCTTTATATTTGATTGAATATCTTCCAAGATATCTTCAATGCCATCTTTTGTATCTTCATTAAAGTCCAAATCACTTATATTATCTGAATCAATATCACTTAAATTTTGTAATTCATTATCAATTTCATTATTTTCATCTTTTTCTAAATTTTCTTCCGATTCATACATATCATCAGAATCATTACTTGCTTCACTTTTAATATTACTATCATCAAAATCTTCATCTTCTTCAAAATCTAATAATTTAGAAAATTTATAATTCATATAATATAGAATGTTTTTAAAATAATATTTAGAATAAAAAATAAAATATGAAATTTATATACCTTTCTTTCTCCCAGTTTGAATATCAGCAGCAATATCTAAATCTTCAAAATCTTTACCATCTGTTAATTTGTCCAACATATCGTTAAATTCTTCACTATTAACACTTTCTATATCATCATCTTCGTCTTTAAATTCATGTTTAAATTCTTTTTTCTTTTTTAAATAGCGATATAAATATAATTCATCAACCGGAATACGTTCTTCTTTTTGATTAAGATACGAAATACTATCAATTGGAATGCATCTAATACCTTTAGGTGTATATCCTGTTCGTTGTGCAAGAGGATCATTTTTTTTCTGGACTTTTTTACTTTCTAATTTTTTTTGGATTCTTAAAAACATAACGATCTAAAAAACGCATTAAGGATAAATCTTCCAATGGATCACCCATATAATCAATTAGTTTTCCTGCAAATATAAATAATATATAATATATATATTATATTTTAAAAATGAAATATAATATTAAAATAATATACAAATTTAATAATAACTTTAATTTATTTAACTATAATGCAATACCTTCAAGAATAGTATTTGCAAATAATGCAACACTTGGATGATAATGTTTAGATAATGTTATTAATTCAGTATTTGAACCTTTAGTTATTCCAGCATAAAGAGGATTTCGACAAAAAGGATCATATTCTTTGCATGTATTAAAATCTATTTTTATATTATTTTCTATTTCATTTTCAGACTTTATTTCTTTATCTGTATTGCATATAGATGCAATGTTCATTAATAAAATAGAATCTTTTAAATTGGATTTATCATTAGATAAATAAGAAATATCTTCTAAATTTAATGAATTATTTTTAGTTTCAGAATTATCATTTTCAATTTTAATACAATCTTGAGATTTTAATAATAAAGTTTTTAATTCTTTATGTGTATGTAAAACTTTGGATATTATATATAAAGTAGCACATGCCATATTTGCAGGAAAATATAATATAATTTGTAAAGTTCTTTTAATAAAAGCATATGAACGTTGCTTATTACAATCATTTTGAAGAACTCGAAATAATAAATTAAGAAATAATGCACGTTTATTTGCTATTCCAATTTGTAGATCTAATAATTTCCGATAGAAAGCAGAATAAAATCTATTTGATTGAGCTTCATCTTTACCTGTAACCTATATAAATAAAAAAATTAAAAATTGAATGTTATAATAAAAATATATTAACTCATATACTCACTTGATATAATAAATTGAGCGCATTTAAAGAAACATTAAAAGATCCAATATGTACAACTTTATATACAGAATCTATATGATCATTCAATATATTTGAATTCATTTTTGCAAATGGATATGCTCTATTTACACCAGTTAAGATTGCTGCCATCATTCTAGAATCTGGTTCTCCTTTTTTTAAACAAGCTTTAAAGAAGGCAAAGTAAACTTCAATAAGTGTTGAAGCAATTTTTTCATCTTTTTTAGTTAAAAGAAATTGTGTTAACAAACAAATTGCATAATATTGTGTGCGATGTGCTACATTTTTTCTAAATAATAATTTTTCAACTTCTCGTAATACAATAAGTTTCATATTGGGATGTTTATATAAGAACTTATTTAGACAAAATATTACTTTAGATCCTATTTTACAATTTGGATCTCCTATTTTATTTACAATTAATTCCAATAATTTATATTGATGTTCAATATTTCCTATTAATAAATTTGTCATTACTGATATTGCTACTTCACGATTTGCATCTACTGTGTCAGATGCAATACTAGCTAGAGACATTATAAAACGTTCATACAGTTCATGTAATTGATCTTCAAAATACCAATGAGCCATTAATTTTTTTTTTGACATATCTGAATTAAGTATGTCTCCAGAATTAAATTTATCAAGTTCATCTAAATTTTGTTCTTCAAATTTAAGTAACTTAAATTTAGGATGAAGTAGATCTATCAAAAACAAGTCTCTTAAAGATTTTATTATCATGTTGCATTGATGATGTTTTACAACTCTTACTTGATTTATAAGCATTGTAAGTCTATTTAAATTATATTTTGGATTATCTTGTACTAATACAATGGCAGCTGCTATTTTATCCGAAGTTGTACCCTGTGTTAATGCTGTTCTTAACCATGTTGTTTCTGAATTAGTATGTTTTGATTCTTTTAATTGAAAAACAGAAGTTTCTGTATCTAAATATCTTTTTGCTTCATTTTTTAAATTTGATATTTCTGTTTCAGTTTTAGAATGTGTATATGAATCCTCTTCTTTAGAATATTCCTTATACCATTTATCATTCTTTATGTTCATTTTTTTTAGATTCTTTCTTCAACTAATTAAAAATCCAAATATTATATACAAATATATTCAAAAATATATAAAAACAATATATAAATTTATATTTTATAAAAAAAACATCTTACCTCGTGGTTAACCTCAGTAGCTTTAATTAGAAATTTTATTTAGAAATAACACAAAAACATAACAAAGCATTATTTTTTTTATAGTATTATAAAATATTTATATGAATATTTAATATTATTCAATCGTAATACAACGATATAATGATAATAAAATATTTCTAATAAACAAAATTTATGGAATACAATTAAAGTATCTATTACTTACATCTCTCTCTCTCTCTCTCTATATATATATATATATATACATTAAGATTTTAATTTTAATATACATTAAAATATACATTAAAATATATGTAATTTAAAAATCGTATTTCAAATACATATATTGATTGTAAATATATGCTTGTAAATTTTATAAATATCTTGTAAAAAAATTTTATTCTTGAAAATAAAAAATTTGCGTGTTACCTCTTCTTGGATTATACTCTCTTAATACAAAATCAAAATTTCTGACAGCAAAAAGAATTTTTATTTAAATTAAAATTTATAACTACAAAAATATGAAAGAAATTTTATATTAATATTTTTTAGAAATTTATTTATTAATATAACATTATTAATTAAAAGCAGATGCTAAAACATACAAGTATTCGATTCAAGCAATGCATTTAATTCCATATATAATGCTGGAAGTCATAGAAAGTGAATGTTTCAGTCTCGTTGCTATTAAATTTATTGCTTGAATCTATTGCAATGTTTCAATGTTTTTATAGGTTCTTTAATCTCTCTCTCTCTCTTTCTCTCTCTCTCTCTCTCTCTCTCTCTCTCTCTCTCTCTCTCTCTCTCTCTCTCTCTCTCTCTCTCTCTCTC